ACTGTTTGCCCCTGCCTGGACCTTTGCCTTGTACCTGGATTATCCCTCTTGCCTTGCCATCGTTATACCTGTTTGCCATTGTCTGACCTATGCCTGTTTTGACCACGTCTCTATGAATAAAGCCTTGCAGATGGATCCGCACGCTTCCTGTGTTCCGTCCGCAACAGTATGTATGTATGACCTACTGTATAAACAATCATTTCAGAGCAATTTTTTGTAGCCAGGGTTTTGTAGTTTTAAGCTGCATTGAACCTTGATGGTATATCATGCAAAGTTATTTGGTGATAGTCGTGTCGAGAAGTTGCTGGTGTGAAGTTGCTGAGATCGACGAATAATCTTTCATAAAATAGCTAGTAAGTAGACTTGTGAATTATAAATCATAGCAGAAACTCATTAAATCATTTCACTAGATGTCTAGTTTTGTTGTTCATTAGTTCTTTATAGGTACACTATAATTACAGAAACGTACACCGTAAATTCAGTATACTCGCGTAGTTCTTTGCGGGTTGTAATCTAAAGCGTTACCAATTCTTCTGTATAAAATGTGTGTTATATGAGCTGTAGGGACAGGATTGTATTCTTTCTCCTGGGACCCCTCTGATGCTGAGGTTTACCGTGTCCTAACCAGATGCGACGCAGACGTTTAGTCTGACGCTCGGCCTCTACTCCGGCAGAAATCTGGCTGGGCTCCTGGTTAGGAGACCGTGTTATTTTTAGCGCAGCAGCTTTGTTGGGGTAGTGTTTCCCAGCAGCAGTGCAGATTATCTGCTGGATCTGGCGCTGTCTCCAGGGCCTCACTGTTTTAATCTCTCAGTGTGACTAAATGATAATAGATTACGATGGCAGAGCTCATCCCACTGTGACCGCGGTCAACCCCAACGGATCCCTTCAGTCCAATCTAAAGGGATGAATCGAGTCCAGAGCATTAAACTTTATTAGTGACGTTTGAGCCTCAGCAGATAATTTTACAGTCAGTTCTCCGTCGCTGGCTTTTCTGACTCAGACACAGAACTGATGCTCTGGAGAATTTCATCAGCGGGACCCTGAACTGATCCGTTCGGTATTAAAGCTTCCTTTGAGAGAAATTGCCAATTGATTCTGCTCTCAGAAGAGGAACGCTAGTGTGACGTCCAGAAAGAGACTGAAGTGGATTAGTGTCGTTTCTGACCTCTGTGTCCAAAAAGGCTGTGTGCGATGAAAGCATCTCTCCCTCCGTGTTGCGCGGATACAAATCGGCCGGGTTTTCAGTATTCATGCACTGATAATGCATGTTCAATGCAGATTTTTCCGATCCTCACAGGATTTCTGAGAGCAGTGTGTGCGCCAGGCCGTTAACTCGCTGGAGATCACGATCCTGTCCGTTATACAGCTAAAGCATCTTTCTCCTTTGACAGTCATTCAAAAGTGTCCATGCATCCTTTTTTTCCCAAGTAGTTTATCATTATCATTATTTTTTATTTTCTTTAAGTATATATTTTAGTCTCTAATTCTTTTTTCCCCCTAAGATGAATGGAAAGACTAATGGATAGAGGTCTCCGGGTCTCGTATGGTACAGCAAACACTTTTATTTCATAAGTTAGTCGTCTCTAGGATACGTTCCCTTTAAGAGGGCAGTCGGGTGAAAATGATGGTGTAGCTCAACAAACAGAAGTGATCTATTATTAGAGTAAAAGTGAGGCCACTGAGATTATTTTCACTGCTTAGCAACAGCTCTGTGCGTCTCCGTCTGCTCACATGATAATGGAGCGCATACTCGTGAGTATATTCATAGTTCATTAACACTGTTCAGCTTGCACAGGCCTCTCTGCTCGCTCTGCCTATGCCTTTGCACCATCCTGTAGGTGGAAGCTCAAGCTGAATGTAAGCTTCTCTCTGGCTCACTTTCTCTGCTCTTGATCCTGTGCTCATCTGGGTCATGACATGATTTATTATATTACTTTAACATGTTCCTTATTTCCCTACGTTCCCTTATTTTGTTGGTGAAGTTCTTTGTAAAAAAAAAAAAATTCATATATGCACAAATGCGCAAAAAGCAAAAAATAATTTTCTGCTTTAATTTTGACTGTCTGTCTGAAACACTCAGTTTTAGTGCTGCAGCTCTTGTAAAGTTCCCATGTGATGCTAATTTTCATCATTTCATTTTTGGGGTCTGCTAGAATACATGATTTGAAGTTCAAAAAAAGCACATTCTTTTTCTTTTCATCCTCAGGCTCTCTTTAAAGCCCCGTCTTTCCAAAACTCCCAGTCTGCTCTGATTGGTCAGCTGGCCCAGACTGTTGTGATTAATCAACTGCTTAGTACTTGTGTT